CATCTGGGAATGCTGGCCGTGCTTCCAGATATTTTTCAGGAAGTCAGAAATCCAGATTTTCATATTAAATCTGATATCTCAAGACTAATAACTAAATCAAAACTTCTTTTTTAAATAATTTTTTATTGTTATGTTAATCACCATACATTACATCATTAGTTTTTGATGTAGTGTTCCATGATTCATTGTTTGTGCATAACACCCAGTGCTCCACGCAGAATGTGCCCTCTTTAATACCCATCACCAGGCTAACCCATCCCCCCACACCCTCCCCTCTAGAACCCTCAGTTTGTTTTTCAGAGTCCATCATCTCTAATGGTTCGTCTCCCCCTCCGACTTACTCCTCTTCATTCTTCCCCTCCTGCTATCTTCTTCTTCTTTTTTTCTAAATCAAAACTTTTAAAGAACTGTTGAGGGCAACATCAAACACATGCATGAATAAGATACAACCTGGTTCATCAGGTTTTTACTTCTATGGAGTTCTCTTTTTCTTTGAACGTCAGAAATTCTACCAAGATATATCCAGTTAAAACTCTTCATAAATTCTGCTCAACACAGAAAGGAGCTCTGATTACTAAGCATTTTGTTCAACCCTGGAAATTTGTTTCATTGTTAGATCTGCATCATTGCATCATCCAGAACTCTTTTTTTTTTAATATAATTCTCCCTCCCCATGATTCTTACTACTTTTTTGTCATCATTTTTATCCTTTCTCTGAGAATTTTTTTCATGAGTTCTTATTTTAGTGATAATTGACTTTTCACTGTGGAATTTGAAGATTTAGCGTACACCTTCTTCATCCTCCAAGTAGCATGATTTTTAAATTAAATTATTATTCAGTTCACTTAATGACTATGTAAAACGTCTTTCATTGCTGAGCTCTGTGGTCACATTTCACTTCCTATATGACTTGTTCTTTTCCATGCAATTAATCTTTGTCTTATTTGAGAATTGCTTAGTTTTCTCAGTATCTCTCAATCTCTTTTCAGACACATCAGGTAACTGGTTTATTTTTTAAGAGACATTTCTCCTCTAACCTTCTGTTCTTCTGTCCCAGTTGAGACTATTACATAGCTATCTTTTTAGAATTTCTCATTATCATCCCATTGATTCCCTTCACCATGCTCCTTTGATTTTCTTTTGATTCGCTTCTATATTTGGATGCCTTGGATACACTGATATACTTTGACTCTTGGATCTCTTGCCATCCTCATTCTTGATTTATTCCTTCATTATTCTAAGGCACATATCCCAAAAGCAACCAAGGAAAGTATTCAAGAAAAGTAAATAGTGTATTTTATGAACCCTTATATGTCTGAAAATGTTTTCGTTTAACCCTCATTTTTCATAGATATTTCACTGGAGATGTAATTTTAGGTTGAAAAACTTAACTTCAAAATTTTGATGGCATTGCTCCATGGATTTTTAAAATTTAGCATCTAGTATCATTGAGAAATCTAAAACACATTCAGGTTCTTAATTCTTTTATGTGATTTGTTTAATATCTTTGGAAATTTTTAGAATTTATTCTTTATAATGTTTAATATAATATTAATTTAATATTTATATTTATTATATATTTATATTAAATAATATTTAATTTAATATAATATTTCAAGTTGAGGTATCATGATGTTGATTTTATTCTTTCATTTGGGCACTGACTGAGACATTTCATTCTGGAAACAAAATCTCTGAGATTTTCTTGTATTATTTTCTTATTTATTCCCCATTATCTTCTCTGTTTCAAATTTTGAATGTTCACTTTTTATTTCCAGTGCCTGGCACCATGTCTGACACATAGTATGGGCTCATTAAATTTTTTGAATGATTGAACACTCATAATTCAGATCTTGAATTTCTTGTCTTAGCTCTAGAATCTTTTTCTATTTTTCATATTTTTTGTACTTTCTGTGAGATTTTATTAAGTTCTAATTCTCATTGTTCTTTGAATATTTTTTCTGACATTATTCTCTTATGAGATTGTTATATGTTTTTAGAAGCATTCTTTTTCTGAATTTTTAAATTTTTCTCCACTGTCTCTCTTTCCTGAGTTTTTCCTTGTTCATTTTAATCTCTCATGTTTAAGATTTTCCTGAAATTGTTAATGACTCAAGGCTGTCTGCTCATATAAAACTGTGGTAGTAAAAAGTTGATCTGAGCTCATTTATATCTGAGGATGTGTAAATTTATGGGTGGTAGTCACTGTAGAGTGATCTGCTTAGAACAGTTCATTGACTGATTCCACTTATCAAGTCTTCTCTATTGGGCTGGTTTTCTCCAGAATGGAATCCTCTACTTTCTTTCTGGGAATCAATAAAATGAGCTTGACTGCCAGATTCTGAAAGTTTACTGAGGATATCAGGCTGGGGGATCAGCCTGCTGTATGGGGTAGATTTGAGAATCTGAGGTCTGTCTGTTTCTTACAGATTTTTAGTTAATCTTCCTTTTTGCAGCCCCTCATGCACCCAACTTTCAAAGATACCTGTTGATTGCAGTTCTTGGAAATAACTAGATTGTACAGTAAGACCAATCTGCAACCTAGGTTTCAGTGTGTTTATGGTCGACACATTATTTATTCTCATTACCTCTACTCTAGCTTCCAAAATTTGGTTGTTGCTCTTCCCTCTCCTATTCTTTGTCCTCATGGAGTTTCTTCTTTTGTTTAATCTTATCACTATCACTTTAGTGGGACTTCTTGAAGGAACAGTAATAAATGTATATATTCACTGTGTGGTGTTTGAAAAGAGTATGTCCTTTTTTTTCTAGAGGAATTTTTTAAGACATCTTTTATTAAGGAGTATATTTTCAAATACTTGCTAATTGAGTCACTTAATAAATATTTGTTGATCTTCCAGTATGTATCAGATACTGTGCTTAGAATTGGATACACATTGTTGAAGACAATAGACATTTTACTTTTAAAACTAAGTAAACACAAGGGGAAAAGATTCAGGGGAAAAGATATTAAGTGAACCTGAATAAATATGTAATTATAAATTCTGAAAATCTTGTTAAGAGAACAGAGTGCTAAAAGTGTAATTACAGGGAGGGTATAATTTGGTCATGGAGTCAGGGAAGGCCTCAAAAAGTATGACCTTTAGAGATTTGTAAAATGGGCAATAGTTATCAAGGCCAAGAGTGAAAAAACTACGAGACATAAGGAAAAATTCCTGGAAAGACCCTAAGAGGGACTAAAAACTGGGAGCATTTGAAAAACTGCAAAATAGGGCCAGCATGGATGGAGCCTAGCAACCAAAAGGGAGCATAGCTTGAGATTTGTTTGAAGAGGCAGGCAGCAACCAGGTCATTCAGAGCTTTGTAGACCATGTTCAGCAGTTTGGCTTTTATTGTAAGAGAAATATAAGGGATGGATTTAAGATTGCAAACCTCAAGTGGGGAAACTAGGAAAGAAAGAGGCTGTCCTGATAGTTCAAGAGATGTATTAGATATTTTACTGAAGATAGGAAGAAGAGTTTCAAGATATATTTAGGAGCAAGATTAGGAGGTATTTGCTGAATAATTATATGAGAGAAAGAGATGATGGTACTCGAATGATTTTCACTTTTTTGGTTTGAGGCTTTCCCACTGGGTCCATAGTGTGGTCTTCAAAACACTTCACTGCCTAATATCCCCATTTTTGTACAGAGATTCTTTCGTATTATCTCTCAAATACTAAACACTTATGCCAAATACTTTTTATATATTATTTATAATTCTCACAATGATTATAAGAGTTATTACTTCTATTATATAAACAGAGAATTGAGGGCTTAGAAAAATGAACTACTTTGGCCAAGAAAACAAAGCTTGTAATTAACTTGAGCGTGAGTTCAAAATTCATGACTGAATCTGGTAGCTCTGAACTTCCAGTAGCACAGAACACTGCCTTTATAGTCTCTTCCTTCTCTTTAAACCTACAAATACCCTTCCTGTCAGTTGGTCATCGCTATCATAATGCTCATGTACTTGTTAAGTCCTTTTCTCTTCTAAGATCAGTATCACAGAATTCCAAGCCAAAAAGTATTTTCATCAAACCCCAAACATAGTCCATATTTAGCCACAAAAGAACCCTTGCTATCTACCACTCAAACTAGATTCATTCATTCTCCCATCTGGATTGCCACCCTCTATTTCCTTATCATTTGTTAAAGAGACCCTGGGCCTCCAGTTGCAGAATCTAGACCAGTGCTGTCCAATAGAACTTCCAGCGATGATGGAAATATCCTATGTTTGTCATTTCCAACATGGTAGTCACTAGCCACAACAGGCCACTGGAAATGTGGATAGTGCCACTGAGGAATTAAATTTGAATTTTTATTTAATTTTAATTATGTTAAATTTAAATACACACATATGCTCATGGCTACTGTAATGGACAACATAGATCTACCCAGGGGCTGGCAACATTTCCTAAAGGGCCAGGTAATAAATATTTTTAAGTTTGCAGTCAACGTGTTCTCTGTTACAACTACTCAATTCTGCCATTTTAGCTTAAAAGCAGTCATAGACAATATGTAAACAAGTGTAGCTGTCTTCCAATAAATCTTTACTTATAAAAATTGTTGCAGTGCTGCAGGCCAAGTATGCCAAACCCTGGGAATTTTTTCTTAGACATATTCATTCAATCCTGATAGTAACTCTTTTAAGTAGGTATGATCATTTCCCTTATTTTACAGTTCATCTGTGGGATGTTCTTATAGCTGTGTGTGCATATGCTGTGAGATTTTATATGTGTATTTATGATTAGAGTCATTTTGTAACAAGGGAGATAAGACTTAAGTCATCTTTATGTTCAGCAAATTCCCCTTAGTAGTTCTGATCAATAGCAATGTTTGGAAACCAATAGCTTATTACTGCCCTCATCTTACTATATGATCTGTCCTCGCTCTTTTCTTGTCTATTTTTTTAAAGTTCAGTTTAATTCTTCCATTTCTATTGAAGTTTTATTTCTCCCAAACAAGAAAAATGTGAGTGATTACTTTCATATTTTCTTTCAGTCCTGGAATCAAGATGTGAGACCAAGAAATTATTTCTGAAGAAGGAAATTTATGAAATAGAGTCAGCGCAGTGGGAGATAATGGAAAGACTTACAAGACATGACCTTCAGTGCTCTAGTTTCAGAGATGATTGGGAATGTAATGGCCAGTTTGAGAAACAACATGGCTCTCAGGAGGGACACTTCAGTCAACTGATATTCACCCATGAAGGCATGCCCACTTTCAGTCAGCATCCATCCTTTACATTACAGCAAATCATTAATAATAAAGAGAAATACTGTGCAACTAAGGAATATAGGAAAACCTTTAGACATGACTCACAACTTAGTACACATCAGATAATTCATACCATTGAGAAACCCTATGAATGTAAGGAATGTGGAAAGGCCTTTAGACATCCCTCAAGACTCAGTCATCATCAGAAAATTCATACTGGCAAGAAACCCTTTGAATGTAAGGAATGTGGGAAAACATTTATTTGTGGTTCAGACCTTACTCGACATCACAGAATTCACACTGGTGAGAAACCCTATGAATGTAAGGAATGTGGAAAGGCCTTTAGTAGTGGCTCAAACTTCACTCGACATCAGAGAATTCACACTGGTGAAAAGCCCTATGAATGTAAAGAATGTGGGAAGGCTTTTAGTAGTGGCTCAAACTTTACTCAACATCAGAGAATTCATACGGGGGAGAAACCCTATGAATGTAAAGAATGTGGCAATGCCTTTAGTCAGAGCTCACAACTTATTAAACATCAGAGAATTCATACAGGTGAGAAACCCTATGAATGTAAGGAATGTGAAAAGGCTTTTCGTTCTGGTTCAGACCTTACTCGGCATCAGAGAATTCATACTGGTGAGAAGCCCTATGAATGTAAGATATGTGGGAAAGCCTATTCTCAGAGTTCACAACTTATTAGTCATCATAGAATTCATAGTGGTGAGAAACCCTATGAATATAGGGAATGTGGAAAGACCTTAAATTATGGCTCACAACTTATTCAACATCAAAATTTGTACTGGTGATAAACCATAGAATATATGAAATCTGTAGGAGGGCTTTCAATTACAGCTCAAAACTATTCAACATTAGAGAATTTATCTTGATAATCCCTTTAAATAGAATAATGTGAAAACATCTTCTTTGTTGATTCCAGCTTATTCAACCTGAGAAAAATCATGTAGGAGAAACACCCTATAAGTAGAATATATTTTGGAAGCCCTTTAATAAAAGCATATATTTCTTTTGACATTAGATAATTCAAGCTAGCAAATACCGAAAATCATAGCACTTTTGACACCTTTTTAACCTTATTTTAAACCTCAGAATTCATATGAAATATAATCCTAATTTTCCTTCCCCCCCTAATTTGTCTATAGTTGCTATATTTTTAGTATTTTAACCCATCTTAAATTTATGTGACTGTAAAGTCCAATTTCTTTACATCACAGTTTGTAAAACACCTTTAAAACCTTAAAGAAGTGACCTCTTTATTCAAAGATGGCTTACTCTTTGTTATTTACAAAACTTAGGCTTTCTTCTTGTAAAAACAGTGATGAAAAACAACACAGTAAATAGAGATCCTTTCATTGCTTCCTGGTGTTTCCTTATGTTGCGATATAAGGATGTGTGATATCATTTTATCAAATTCCTATTGAAAGAAATTGTAGTTTCCCAGAGTTTTTGCCATTATTCACAGTTTCCTAATGGAAATTCTCCCTAGGCATATCTTTGTATTATGTATTTTAATTGCAGAAATAATGCATGAACATATTTTCCTTTTAAAAGATTTAAACATTGCAAATAAGGCAAACATACGACTACCATCCTTGTACCCATTTCCCATTCTGAAGGATAGTCATCTGTTTAGTATTTATTCTTCTTAAGCATTTTTCTATGTTTTTATACATATTTGTCTCAGTAGAAATTATAAAATGGGGATAATTATAATACCTACCTCAAAATTTTGTGTGAGGATCAAATAAATTAAGACACATAAACTGCTTAGAATTGTGCCTGTCATATAATAAATACTCACTGAATGTTGGTCATTATTTTATTCATCGTTGTCATTAGTATTATTTGTTGAAAAACAGTTTCTGCAGAACTTGCTGAACATCAGGCAGGACATACAGTTGAAAAAAGACACCACTTGGTAATGAATTCAGAAAATTTTCCATCATGACTTATTTCATACGGAACATGGAATAATCCTAGGTGTTGGTGGGGAAAGTAATGTGCGTACCGTGTGCAAAGGACTTCACTCAGACTGGCATCCTTTTTACTACATCATATAATACCTAACATCAAAACAAATAAAAATATAAACAAACCATTGTGAAACTGATGGAAAAGTATGAAAAGACAAACAGAATCGTGTTTGAAAAATGGATAAATACACACAAAGAGAAACCTTAGAGTTACTGATTTAGAATGTTCTATTAGGGGTGCCTGGCTGGCTTAGTGGAGCGTGCAACTCTTGGTCTTAGGGTTGTGAGTTCAAGCCCCAAGTTGGGTGTAGAGATAACTTAAAATCTTTTTTAAAAACTAAAAATAAAAGGGGCACCTGGGTGGCTCAGATGGTTGAGCATTGCTGGGTCCTGGGATTGAGCCCCACACTGGACTCCCAGCTCAGCGGGGAATCTGCTTCTCCCTCTGCCTCTCCCCGCCCCAACCCTGCTCTCTCTCTGTCTCTCGAATGAATAAAATCTTTAAAATTTTTTAAATAAAAAAAATAAAATGTTAAATACAATGCTTCTTTCTGATACATTTGAAAACCTAAATTATTTTTTAGGAAAATAAAAATTACAGCATTGTCTCAGAGAACTCTTGGAAGATTTATAAAAACACAGAAAAGGGGAAATTTAGTGTGATATAGTAACTATTACTACTAATGAAGCACCAAATCAAATTTCTTTTCAGGCAAAACATTATCAACTGTTTTTTTTTTTTTTAGAGAGAGAGATGGGGAGATGGGCAGAGGGAGAGGGAGAAAGAATCTCAAACAGGCTCCACACCCAGTGCAAGCCTGACTTGGGGCTCGATCTAACAACCCTGAGATCATAACCTCAGCTGAAATCTAGACTTGGACACCTAACCACCAAGTGTCCCTAGACATCTCATAACATACTCAGATATAATCTTGATGTTAGAACAATCTTGGGACACCCAAAAAGGAAAGCTATTTTTCGGTGTCATCCATGAAGATATATGAAAGCATACTAAAGAAACTAGCAAACTATAGGTACCTATTAAAAGAATAATAGAAATGAACCTGCTTGTGACAGTAGCTAAAGAGGATGATATCCAGTGCCCGGTTCCAGCTAACTGATGTGAAGAAACATAGGCCCCATTTTGCCAGCTCTTCTGATTTTTTGAGAGAATCCAGATATTTTATTTATTTTGTTAGTGCATGATAGCTCTTGATTTTTTAAAAAATACTTATTTTGAGAGAGCACGAATGGGAGGTGGGGGGAGGAGCAGACGAAGAGGGAGAAGCAGGCTCCCTGCTGAACTGGGAACCTGATGTGGGGCTTGATCCCAGGACTCCAGGATCATGACCTGAGCCAAAGGCAGACGCTTAACCAACTGAGCCACCCAGGTGCCCCAATAGCTCTTGATTTTTAAGTGGTCGTTCAGATTTTTATTTAAGGACACCATGAGGGCCAAAGGAGACATATGGACTGCACAAACAGCCCATGAGTTACTTTTATTCTGGAGACTAGAGCAGTGAGTTTTTAATAGTGTAAACTCCTTGGTCCCAAGGAAATTTAAGGAAATGAAGGAATGGTACAAAACAAGATAATTTACCCAGAATTTCTTAGATGTGAACAGGTTTAGATTAAAATATTTCCAGGGACAGGGGCGCCTGGGTGGCTCAGTCATTAGGCGCCTGCCTTGGGCTCAGGTTATGATCCCAGAGTTCTGGGATCAACATCGGGCTCCCTGCTCAGCAGGAGGCCTGCTTCATCCCTCCCCCACTCCCCCTGCTTTTGTTCCCTTTCTTGCTGTGTCTCTCTGTCAAATAAATATAAAAAAATATATATTTCCAGGGATAGAGTAAGCTCCAAATGTAAGGATTTTTTTTAAAGGACTTGATTCAGCCCCAATATTTTCTACATATAGTTCTTTATTCTAAGCATCATATCAAGTTTAAAAATTGGATATATTTTATATGTTGCATATCCCATTGTTGAGATATTATATATGTATATATATGTACATTTTTAAAAACAGTTAACCTGTGAAGAGGAAAACTAGCCTGACCATCACAGTTTTGCACTAGCAACAAAAATGTCACTGGAATTATGTATTGTGTTCTAGATGAAAGGTTAGCAGCCTTTCCATAAATAGCCAGATAGTAAATATTTTAGCCCTGTGAGCCATACTATTTCTGCTGGAACTACTTAACTCTATCAGAGTGTGGAAGCCTACCAAAAGTCCTAGATTAAGAAATCTGAAGTTAAGAAAATGTCCCACATCTTAACTTTGTTTAGGTTAGGTTAGTGTTTTGAAATAGATCTTTTCTATGCCTCAATTTTCATGCTTAGCAGCAACTTCCTCCATTGGATAGATACCATTCTTGGAAGGAAAATCCCATATAATATCCCAAAGTTACAGGTCTGTCCTTCCATTCCCCACTTCCTTTTTTCTTAGATCCCATATTAGAGGGTTTTGGTTTTTTAAAAACATTGAGTTATTTTGTTACAGGCGTATGCCCGTAAAATATTTTATAATCAATTTAAGAAAAGTGGAGTGGGGACCCCTGGGTGGCTCATTAGTTGAGCGTCCAACTCTTAATTTCAGCTCAGGTCATGACCTCAACGTTGTGAGATCAAGCCCCACAGTGGGCTTCACACTCAGTGTGGAGTTTGCTTGGGATTCTCTCTCTTCCGCTGCCCCTCCCCCTGCCTGCATGTGCTCTCTCTCTAAATTTAAAAATCTTTTAAAATTAAGAAAAGTAGAACAAATAAGAGAATTAGTAAAAACAGGATATTTTGTTCAAATATTTTGCATTACTATCAAAACAAGGACTGCTAAATGAAATTTTATATTCTTTTTTAAGCCTATTTTAAGTTATTTGTTATTTGTTAAGTTCCTCATCAAAAATTACAGAGATAGGGGCGCCTGGGTGGCTCAGTCGTTAAGCGTCTGCCTTCAGCTCAGGTCATGATCCCAGGGTCCTGGGATGGAGCCCCGTATCGGGCTCCCTGCTCCGCAGGAGGCCTGCTTCTCCCTCTCCAACTCCCCCTGCTTGTGTTCCCTCTCTCTGTCTCTCTCTGTCAAATAAATAAAATCTTTAAAAAAAAAATTACAGAGATAATGCATTTGCACCCAAACCAATGAAGCAATACCAATAAACAAAAAAATAATTTTTGAACCTTGTGTATATCCCCGATATATTTCTTTATACTTAAACATTAACACAACCAATTTATTTTAGTATATTTTTACCCAAAAAATGGATGATACCTTGTACATTTGTCTGTAATTTGCTTTTTAAATTCAACTGCATTTTGAATTTTCTTGGTCAGTAAATGATGATTTAACTTAGTTCTTATTTTTATTTTTTTGAGATTATTTATTTATTTGAGAGAGAGAGCAGAGTGTGGGAGAGAGAACACAAGTGGGGGGGAGGGGCAGAAGGAGAGGGAGAAGCGGGCTCCCCACTCCATTTAGCAGGGAGCCGGATGCTGGGCTTGATCCCAGGACCCTGGGATCATGACCTGAGCCACAAGCAGACACTTAACCAACTGAGCCACCCAGGTGCCCCTTAACTTAGTTTCTAGAATGGTTACATTATATTGCATACCCAAGTATGCTTATACCAATACCTATTCAACTATTCCCCAACTTTGATATTTCAGACTGTTTCCTCTTTGCCATTTAAAAGTAGTGCTTCAATAAACATTCCTATTTTATATTCTTCTCTATTTATTTCATTTCTATAAAATAGGTTTCCCAAACCATTTCCAATGTTTTCTGTTTCTTAGGAAGGTATTGTTTATAGAAACATTCAGAGGGAAGAGAATAAAGGAATAGTGTGTGCAGTTTTTCATATATGTGGGTGTATATACACACACAGAGATTTTAACATTTTAATCCATCTGGAATTCATTATTGTATATGGTGTGATACAGGATGTCAGCTCTGTTTCCATTCAGGAATAAACCCAATTATGCCACAACCAACTACTGAACTATTCCTCTTTCTCCTACTAGATTAAAATACTTTTATCATATATTAAATGCTCATATCCTCATCTATTTCTGTGCTTTTACAGCGATCTTTAACTTACACTTTTTAGTAACTTATTACTTGGAAATAGAGTTATGTGTATTGTTAAAGTTTTTTTTAA